ATGCCACGCTGGCGGAGAGCTCCTCCAGCCTGGCAGCCATGCAGGTGGGTGCGCCGGCAGCAGCAGCCGCTCGGACCTGCCTGCCTGCCTGCTGGCCTGCCGCCCTGGGCCGCCCTCCTCTGGCCCTACTCTGCCCCCACCTGCTAAAGCACTGGCCAATTCACCAAATGCACGCATACACATGCACCAAGCACACACACACACACCTTCACACATGCTGACCTCGCACACACACCTCCACCCATACACATGGCCCCCCTCTCTCCCTCTCCCGTCGCCCCGCCCTGCAGCGCTCCGTGGAGGAGCGCAGTGCCAGGCTGGCCGCCGCCGAGGAGCGGTGCTACGCTCTGGAGCACGAAGTGGATGGGCTGATGCAGCGCCTGCAGGCGGCGGGTGCGCGCCGTGCAGCGTGTGTGTCGCTGCCGCTGCTGCCGTGGCTGGCAGCGGTGCAACCGCTGAGATGCATTTGCATGCAGCACTGAACCAGTTGCCAGGATCCGGGACTCTGTGGTGTGGTCCATGGCTCTGGACCCTCACAACTGGACAGCTCCTGTGGGCTGATGGATTCAGCGGTTGCATCGCTGCTGGCGGCGGCGCTGCTGGCGGTGGCGGTGTCTGCGCGAGGCTGTGTGTCCCCTCCCGCCTCCCTGCCCCTCCCTGCCCCTCACCGCTCCCTCTTGCCTGTGCCTGCCGGCCGCCCCACCCCACCACCTGGCCACGGCAGAGGCGAAGCTGCAGCGCCAGGCAGAGGCAGAGGCGGCCAGCAGTAGCGAGGTGCTGCAGCAGCGGGTGGCGGACCTGGAGGGTCAGATAAGGTGGGCAGCCTCTCTGTGTGCGTGTGGTGCGTTGTTGTGGTATTGTGTGTGTATGTGTGTGTCGTGTGTGTGTGTGTGGTGGTAGCTCGCAAGCACATAGGACCCCACCACCAGCACCACCACACCGCCACACCACTTGGGCCCCTTCCCCGCTGCAGGACCGCGCACGTGGCGCAGCAGCAGGCAGAGCAGGCGCGCACGCGAGCCGACGAAGAGCTTGTGGCGTTGCGGGCGGGTGCGCCCCCTGCTGAGGCAGAGCCCTGCCCCCTGCCGAGGCTGGGGCTGACAGCGTGGCATGGGCAGGGCACAGCCACCACCAGCACAGCTGTGTCGCTGCCTGTTTGCTTGTGTTGCATGCTCTTGCTATCAGCATGGCATCGGCAGCTGCTGCCTGCTGCTGACGACGCGCTCTGCGCTCCGCGCTCCCACCCATCACCCAGCCCTGTGTGTGTGCTTGCCACGTGCTGTGTTGTTGTGCGCGTGCAGAGGTGGCCACGGTGCGGCGCCAGCTGGCGGACGCGCACAGCGTGGACAGCGGCGACCTGCAGCGCCGCCTCAAGGATGTCACTGACATGCTGTACCTCAAGCAGACCCAGGTGATAATATACATATCACATATATGGTGGGGGTGGATGTGGGTGCTGGGTGGGTGGATGTGTGGGTGTCCGGCGGGGCGACGGTCGGTACCGTCTGCCCCTTCCCCGGCCTGCCTGCCGTCTTGTTCCTCCCTCTTCTTCCTCCCTGTTCCTTATCCTCTCTCCTCTCTCCCTAACGGCCTGCCTGCCTTCCTTCCACGCCCCCACACCACCGCAGCTGGAGCGGCTGGCGGCGGACAAGGCGGCCCAGCAGCTGGCCTTGGAGCGAGACCTCCAGCACGCCCGCAGCGAGGCGCAGCAGGTGGGGCGGGCTTGGAGGGGAGGGAGGCAGAGAGAGGCCGCCCCGGAGGGGACGGTGGCAGACCCGGCCCCGGCAGACCAGCAGCAACCCCTTCCGGGCGCTTCACTGCACGCACGGCACACCACACGCCGCCCAGCGCCATGCCGGGCCTTCTGCCGTCTTGGCTCTGCTCTCGCCGCCTGCCTGGCACGGCCGCACCCCACCCCACCCCGCCCCGCCCCCCCTCCTCCCCACACACACGCCACACGCCCGCCGCGCCCCCGCAGGTGAAGCGGCGTGCCACCATCGACCGCAGCATGCACGGCGTGGCCGCCGCCGACGAGTCCATGGTACCGATGGCCCACCTGGGGGACGCTTACCAGCGGTGAGCCTTGTGGGTGTGGCCGGGCAGACGGCCGGCGGGCTGTGCGGTGGTGGTGAGGGGGGTGGGCGGGGTGAGGGGGTGTTGGTGCATGCCCAAAGGGCGCCAGCCAATGCGCGAAATGCCGGGCGCCCTCCCCTCAATACTCCACACGCTCACACACATGGCAGTGTCACTCTCTCCCTCTCCCGCTCTCCTGTCGCCCTCCCTCCTTCACACACACACACACCGCCCGCATGCGCCCCCCATGCAGGCTGGCCAACAACAACCGCGTGGGCGGCGCCGTCAAGGCGGGCGCACAGCTCATCGACTCCACAGCCAACCAGGTGCCCGCGCTGCCCGCGCTGCCCTCCTTTCTTCGGGCGGGACAGCAAAGCCGAGCGCTGCCCTGCGCCTGCGGCCCCGCCTCCTTGCAGCTGCTGCCCGTCGCCCGCCAGCGGGGCACCAGCCTGTGCCGCCACCCCTCCATGCACCGCCCAGCACCTGCACCCGCACGCAAGCAAGCAAGACCGACTGGCCGCCCCCGCCTGCCTCCACCTGGTGCCAGCGCAGGTGGTGCTGGTCCTGCGGCAGTACCCGGCGGGACGCCTGGTCATCTTCGCCTACATCCTGGGCCTGCACCTCTTCATCTACATACTGCTGCACAGGCCAGTGGGCGGCAGCAAGTACTGCTTGTACTGCGCCCGGGAAAAAACGCGCGGCCCGCGCGCGGTTGCCTGCGGTTGCCCTGCCCTACCGGCATGTGCCTGCAAACCGCTGCCCTCTGCTCGGCTCTCGATGGCTGCTTGCCTGCTTGCCTGGAGCCGCCGCACCCAACTCTCGAGGTGCCATCAAGTGGTGTTGTGCCGCCGACAGGCGCGCTCCTGCCCCCCCTGCACATCCATGGCATGCCTGCCTGCAGGCTACAGCACAAGGCCTTCCGCGCTGAGATGGCGGCGGACGCGCTGCAGAGGGACGCCCGCATCTGATCCGCATCTGACCAGGCGGCCCCCCTCACTGCCTGCCTGCCTGCCTTCCGGCGGCGGTGGAGCCGGGTGGCGTGCGCCGCTGGCCCGTCACGTGGGCCCGCAGCCCTGACCCGGCAGCCGGAGCGGCCTGCCCGTTTTGCCAGCCATGCATGTTTCATTGGCACGCACCACCCTGCTGCCGTTTGCCTTGCGCTGCCTCTTCTGGAACCCAGTGAATGCATCAATCTGGAGGGAAGCTGAGGGGTGCTAATCACAGCGGCCAAAGTCAGGTGTGTATATGCGGTGCAGGCGAGGTGTCGTGCCATGGGCTCTTGGCTGCTGGCAGGCGGGCCACAGGAGAATTAGTCCCCTCCTAGCCTTTAGTCGTGTGCCGCCGCCGCCGCCGCTCACGGCTGTGTGCCATCGATGCCCACAGCCACGAAGCTGCCGGCCTTGGCGCTGCCGTCGCTGTCGTCGGCGCCCTCCTTGCAGCGCTGGCGCAGCCGCAGCAGCGCCGCAGCATCCTCCAGCGCCCTGCGGCCAGGGCACGCACCGCGTCTGCGCAGCGGGGGGGTGGCTCGCGCTGCCGCCGCCGCTTCCCCTCACGGCCTGCCAGCCCATCCCCACCCTGCCCCATGCTGCAACACTTCCCGCACCCCGCCCCACCTCTGGCTGTCCTGCACAGTGCTCTCCATCATTTCCTCCAGTGGAAGCAGCGGGAAGGGATTCTCCAGCTGCAGGCATGGGGCAGGGGGAAGGGCAGGGCAAAGGGGCGGTGGGGTGCAAGGGCAAGGCAGGGCTGGGGTCGCAACGCAAGAGGGATCCTGCAATTGTGGTCCCGGGTGTGTTGAGATTTGTGGGCAGGCCTGTGCCACACAGGTCAAGAAGGTGTGGCCCGCCAGCATAGGTAGGCAGGCTGGCCTGAATGCCAGCCTCCAGCCCCTGGGCCGGCCAGCCAGCCGCTGCGGAGCGGGCCCTGCCTGCCTGCCTGCCTGCCTGCCTGCCTGCCTCCTGGCAGCCCCACCTGCGTGGCAATCTCGTCCACCGACAGCAGCAGGAGGGCGACAAAGAAGACGCCCAGCAGGCTGAACCAGCTGGTGTTGTCTTCCTGCCACATGCCAAACGGCAGCAGCATCTGCACGGCACGGGGCGTGGCAGCAAGGGGGCACGTGCCGCAAGGGCAGGCGTCGGCGGGAGCGGTGGGGGAGGCGGGCAGGCACCCCCCGTCGCATGGGCGGGCAGCAGGCGGCGGTGGAGGGGGTGGGCCGGCGCGGCGGCCTGTGCAGGAGGGGGTCCCGTGTTGGCTGAGCCACTGCCTGCCTGCCGCATGTTGCTCCGGGCCATGCGCCACACCCCTGGCTGTGCTGCAGCAGCAGGGAGCGGACAGGACGCGGGCCGCTCTCCCGGCCGCCTTTTCCACCCCGAACGCAGCTCACCAGCCAGATGAACAGGAAGCCGGTTGAGATGAGGGAGAGGCCCGCGGGCATGGCCTGGAAGCGCAGGCGCACGCAGTTGCCCGCGTCTGACCAGCCCTTGCCGATTGTGAGGTCCATGGCCGCCACCAACTCCCGCCCCACCCCCGCCTCCCGCACCAGCAGCCGCAGCTGGCTGGCCACCAGCTGGCGGCCCTTGCGGGAGGAGGAGTAGAGGGCCAGCTCCTCGCGTGACAGCAGGGCCGCCGCCGCGGGGTGCAGCGCCGCGTCGCCCTGCACCACCTGCAGCACGCTGTAGTGCCACACCACCGCCCAGCGCCGGATGTCGGCCTGCGTGGGAGCGTGGTGGTGGGGGGTGCGGCAGGAGGCATCAGCACAGCGTCGCCAGCTGTCAGCAGCTGGTGCGCACACCAAGGCCCGCGTGTGTGTGTGGTGTGTGGCAGCGGGATCGCGGCAGGAAAGCAGCATAAAAGTGCACAAAGATGGTGTTTGCTTGCCTGCAGGGCTGGCGCGTCCACCCAGGCGGCCGCCTGCTGCACCAGCGCGGTGGCGGCGTTGCCCACGCCGGCAAACCCCAGCCGCGCCACCCACCAGCGGTCGTAGGACCGCCCCACCCGCAGGCTCAGCAGCAGGGACAGCGGGAAGGAGGCGAGGCGAGCGATGTAGCTCACGCTGCTGCGGTCCAGCTGCGGGGCAGGACGCAGCGGACAAGGGCGGCGGCCGGGCGAGACAGTTGGGCAGTGGAGAGGCAGGAGGCGTCAGGGGCGTGGTGGGGCGCCTCGCTCTGCCCCCACAGCTTTCCCATCTCACAGACGGCTCAAACAAAGAGGAAAGGGGCCCGGTGACAAGAGGAGGCAAGGGTGGGGGAGCAGCGGACACGGCGTGCCTGCCACCCAGAGGGGTACTACAGCAGCCAAAGGCGCCAGCGCCCTGCCCGCCCTCCTCTCACCGCCGGCAGGTCCCACCCCAGCTCCGTGCGGGCGAAGCCGTACAGGCACATGCCGGTGGCCACCGCCATGGTCAGAGCCAGGGGCGCCTTCACATTCCACCTGCGGCAGCGCCAGGTCAGCGGCGGCGCGGGCGGTGGGCGGGCCGCGATGGCGCCAGGTGGGCGAGGCCGAACAGGGAGGCGGGTGCTGAGCCGCGGTGCCTGCCCTCGGGACACGTCCTCGCTCCGCTCTTGCCCCGTGCTGGATCCCTGCTGCGACGGGCGCCCTGAAGCAAGCACACACTCTCACAGGAAGTGGCTAGGGGGGCCGAGGTAACAGAAGAGCGCGTCAAAGAAGCGCTGCTGGCCCTGCAGCTTGGGCCAGTCTGCTGGCCGGGTTTTACGGGTGGTGATGTTGATCCTGCGACACACGCCAACGCTGGTCAACATGAGTGGGCGAGATGAGGCACACTGCGCTGGCTGTAAGGAGGCGCAAGGAGGTGTGGCCAGAGCGGCAGGGGCGGCACCGGGCGGCACCGGGCGGCAGCACCACAAGCAGCGGCGCGGGGCCTTGATCGCGCACCGGGGCCTGTAGAAGAGTGCCTCCCACAGCAAGAGCGGGGCAAACAGGAGGGCCCACAGGCCGGTGGCTTTTGCCGCCCGGTCGCCCCACAGGGGGCTGTGGCTCACGCGCATGGTGTGTAGGAGCTATACCGGCGGGTAGGAGCACGCAGGAGGATCGAATGGAGGAGAAAGAGGTTTGACAGGCTGGCGGGGCGCCGTGCAGGTCGTGCCCGCCGCCCTCCGCCGTTCCAGCATTTTCCTTCAAGGCTCATTTACATCCACGCAAGTATATACCAAACATCCATAACCCCAGCGCTACAGCAGCCTACTCCCCACGCATCCTCTGCAGCTGCTGTGCCACCTGCCCGAGGTAGGCGGCAAACGACGCGGCATGCGGCTGCAGCCGCGCCTCCCTCCCATCCTCCTTCCCATCCTGAGCCCGTTGCCGGCACGGCAACCTCCCGCCCTCTGAGGTGGCACCCTCCTCCTCCAGCTCCCCCTCCAGCAGCGCCTGCACCTGAGCCAGCACATCTGGCTCTGCCGCCTCGGTGCCGCCACCGCAGCCCACCTCTGCCGTGCCGTCGGCGCCGGCACCGCCCTGCTTGCGCCGCCTGGAGGGCATGTGGGGGCGGAAGGTGCAGGCCGCCAGCTCTTGCTCCTGCGAGCCGTGGAGAAAAACGACAGCCGGGGCACTGTGTGCACGAACGAAGCCAAGTTGGCAGCTGACAGTATGCTCAGCAATGCGCTATAACACAGCTGGAAAACCGGATCGGCAGGAGCCCGCAAGGGGCAGCACGGCGACTTGGCCGCGCCAGCCAGCTGCCGTGACCTCTCACCTCCCTCTCCTTTGCGGCCGCGGCAGACGCTGCCTCCCTGGCCTGCCGCGCAGCCTCCACCTCACGCATGTACTCGTCCAGGCGCTGCAGCAGGGGGGCAGCAGCAGCAGAGGATGAGCACCTTGCATGCATCTGGCAGGTGCAGTGCAGCATGTGACCAGCACTCGCATGGTAGTGCCCGATCAGAACCCCGGCCACGCCTGTTGTGCTCTGCGGCAGCACAGCCAACGCAGGCAGCGGGCTTGCCTGCGTGCTGATGTGGGGCCGCGCCGCGCCGTACTTGCTGCCGGCGCTGGCGGCTGGCGCGGTGTCGGGCCGGAAGGTGCAGGCCGCCATGGCCGCCGCCTCCGCCTGCTGCCGCTTCAGGGCCTGCGCTTGAGGGGGCACAACAGCATGAGCCGTGCACGCCGCCAGCATCCCTCAGCATCCCTCAGCGGCCAGTGGCCCACACCAGCCAGCTGGATGCGCCACGAGCGAATACAACATGCGGCCAGTGTGAAGGCACACCCAAGCCAAGCGAGCCCACACTCACGCACCAGCCTCTGCTGGCGGGCGGCCCACTCTGCGTGGAGCTCCTGCGGGGAGCGAGGGCTCCTGGCCTGCGCCCTCGGGGTGATGGCGGGGTGGAAGGTGCAGCTGGCGAGGTAGGCGGGCAGGGATGCGCTGCTGGCAGCAGGGCTGCCCGGCCGCGCCGCCTGGCGACTGCTGCCCTGCGCGTCATTGCTGGCAGCCGTGCTGCTGGCGCCCTCGCTGGCGCCGCCGTCAGAGTCGCCGCCTGCGCTGCCGCAGGCCGGCATGCCTGCCGCCAGCTCCAGCATACCAGCGATGCTCCTGGCAAGGCCGCCGCGCTCGGTGGCAGGAGGGGCACCGCCGCCGTCGGTGCCGCCTGCCTCGCCGCACCCCGGCCCCTGCCTGCGCTGCAGGATGCGGAGGGAGCCGGGCGACAGGCTGGCGGGCTGAGGTGGCGCCAGCTGGCGCTCCCGCTCCAGCTTGGCCTCCAGGGCCTGCAGGTGGGCTTGCAGCATCATGGTCCAATCAACCGTGCCCAGCCGTGCAGCTGCACACCACATCAACGCTGGAGATGGGCTTAGCAGCGCACGGTGCCTGCCCGGCTCCCCACCCGCAGCGATCTGGGGGCACCTCCTTGCCTCCCTGCATCACCTGCGCAAAGCGCTCCTGCCTGCCCAGGAAAGCATCCAGATCGCAGCCGGGGGCAGCCCGTACCGCTGCCAGTACGATGCGGTACGGCTTCCGGGCGGCTTCTCCAGCGCCGCCCGCCGCACCAGCGGCGCGCTGGCTGGGCGCGACGGCGGCGGCGAGCGGTGGGACAGCGGCGGGCTGGCGCCGCGGCTGTGCATCTGGCCAGGGAAGGGGCGGGCCTTTGGGGAGGCAGCCGCCGCCTCCTGCTGCAACTTCTGCACTCGGCGGTGGCACAACAAACAAGGAAGAAAGCAGGTTGGGCGCAGTGGGATGAGGGACGCACAGGCACGGGTCGAGTGCACCCTTTTCAAGCACATTTGACCGGCGGTCTGGGGCTGTGCACCACAGCCAGCAGGTAGCGGCACCACAGCCAGCGGCAGGGCAGCAGCAGGCAGGCAGGCTGCGCCTCACGTGCTGCAGCTCCAGCGGCGCCTGGCGCTGGCGGGCCTGCATGTTCAGGGCGTGAGCATACAGCCGGTCGCTGGCCCTCAGCACGCTGTTCAGCCCGCGGCTTGCCAGCCTGGCGGCACCGGGCCCCGCCGCCGGCTCCCTCCGGGCCTGGGCGGCCCCAGGGCTCAGGACCGCAGCTGGCAGGCAGGCCCCCGCCAGGGCCGACGCAGGGTCGGAGCGCCGCGGGCCCGGCTGGCCGGCCGCGCCGCCCTCTGCCGCAGAAGACAGGCTGGAGGCGGCGGTGACGGCGTCGCTGCTGGCGGCGGCGTCTCCGGGCGCGTCCATTGGAGGCTGGCCCGCCGCGTTCTCGCCACCGCCGTTCCCAAGGCCGGTGCCAGCACAGCCCGTTTGGGCAGCACCTGCCGCCACGAGCAGGTCAGCCGCCGCCAGGGCGTTGAGGCCAGCCCCGTGCAGCGCCTGCAGCTGGAGGAGTACCGCCTCGTCCAGTCCGGAGCAGGAAGCTGCGGTAGCGGTACGGGAGCCGCCCGTGCCGTACCGCACGCCCTGACGGGCCAGGGCGGCCGACCGTGGGTCGATGGAGGGGGAGAAGGTGCAGCCGGAGAGCGCCTGCTGCTCCTGCTGCTCCCGCAGCGCGGCGCACCTGCGGGAGGGCGGGCCGGGGCAGGCAGGACAGTAGCGCACACGGGTCTCGCATCTTTCCCAGCATCCTTCCCAGCAGCAAGGCTGATGAGGTTCAGACCTGGCCTGGCGGCACGGTCGCCCCTCCGCCGCCGCAGCAGAGGTGGTGGGCGGCAGCACGACAGCGCGACATTCAGGCTCTGGCTCAGACGATGCCCGGCAGCCAGCACGCCGCGGCACCCACACACCTCTGCAGCGCCCGCTGCCGCTGCGCCCGCTGCCGCGCGTACATCCGGCTCCCAGCCTCCTCCCCAGAGCGTCCGCTGCTGGCGGCAATGCCAGGCTGGAAGTGTTGGGCGGCTGGGGAGGTGGCGGGGCTGCAGGAGGCGGCGGTCTTGCAGAGCGCCGGGCGGAAGGTGCAGCCCTGCAGGTCTGCCGCCTCCTGCTGCTGGCGCTGCGCGGCATACCTGCGGCGGAGGAGGGCAGCAGCACTTCCGCAGCTTCAGCAAGGCAAAAGGAGCCAGCAATGGTTCCTGGCGAGGGGCACTGGAGCGGCCCTTCACAGGCTGGCAGAGGCAGAGGCAGAGGCACAGGACTGTGTAAAAGGAGGGGTGCTGTAGCTACCAACGGCCATGCTGGATCGCCTGCCACCCACCGTTTCTCCGCCTCCTGCCGCTCCCGCATCTGGCGGGCGTACATGGCGGGCAGCCTGCCTCCCACCCGCCCGCCCTCCTCGTCGCCCCACGGCGGCAGCTGCCGGGCGGCCCAGGCGTGGCGGCCGGTGGCGGCGGAGGTGATGGCGGCCTCGACGGCAGCCGAGCCGGGAGGCGGGGCAGGCTTCACGTGGGCTGCATCCATCCAGGGCGCAAGAGCTGGCTCCCCAGGCTCAGCCAGGTACAAGCCCTGCTCACCACCGCAGCTGGGTGGGCCGCCCAGCCAGCAGGCGCCCTGAGCTGCACCGGGCGCGCTAGCGCTGAGGCCGTCGGCGCTGTCGCAGCCAGGGCCGACGGAAGCCGGCCTGCCGCTCAGGCCAGCAGCAGGCCAGGGGCCGGGGGAGGCAGCGGCACTGGACGGAGTCGGGGTGGAGACAGGACCAGCCTCGCGCGGAGGGCCGCCGCTGCGCAGCAGCAGAGCAACCTCAGCTCCCAGATCGCTCCCGCCTTCCAGCCCATCCGCGGCCCCACCAACCACTGTCAGGGCGGCCTCGCCGGGGCTGCCCAGCAGTGCCAGGATGCCGGCCAGCGCTGCCGCCTCTGCAGCCACCTCTGCCGTGAGGCTGGGCCCCGCCGGGGCTGCCCGCTCCACCCGAGGGTCTTCTACAGCCTCTGCATCAGGTGCACGCTGGTGTGCCTCCTCCTCTCCTGAGCCAGCGGGAGATGCCGCGGCTGTGCCGCCTCCCAGCAGCTCCAGCACGGCATCCAGCGTCGCCGCCGCGCCGGCAGGCTGTGCCGCAGGGCAGGCCGGCGGTGGCGGCGCCGCGCCCTCGGTGCCCAGCGTGCCGGGCTGGCTGCTGGCCTCTCGGATAGTGTCCAAAGCGGGGGCGATGGAGCCGCACACTGCAAGGCGAGCGTGGGAGGTCAGCAGCAGCGGGGATGAGCAGGGCCGTCCATGGGAGAGAGACAAGTGGCTGGCAGAGCAGCCTAGTCGCCACCAACCCACACAGCTCGCACCTGAGAACCGCGGCTCCGGCTCGTCCTCCACGCTCAGCGAGTCTCCGCTGCCGCGCCCCGAGCTGTACAATGGCAGCCGTGGGCTGCCGCCGCTGCTGGCGCGCAGCAGCGGGGAGCGTGGCGGCGGCGGCGGCGCCAGAGGCGTCACGGCCAGGTCTCCTAGCGCCTCTGCCAGCTGGAACTCCAGCTCCAGCAGCTCCTGAGCTCCAGGGAGGTGCCACGTGCCGCGCCCAGAGAGGGGCGGGGAGCTGGGAGCCGCAGCGGCGGAGCTGACGAGGCCTAGTGCCTCGGCGACAGCAGCCTCTAGAGAGCTTGGCTCGGGCGCCGGGTGACTAGAAGCATGAGATGTGATGAGTGGTGGTGCTGCATCAGGCCTGAGTGGCTCCACCACTGCCGCCAGTGGCGGCAGGGGCAAGGCAGAATTGCTGGCGCCGGCATCGCCGGCGGCCAGCGGCGGCGGCGCCGATGGCGGTGGAACGGGCTCCAGGCGGACCGCTGATGCCGAGGTGTAGATGCCGGCACGGATCAGCTCCTGGGATGGGACACCTCCGCCTGCTCCAGCCAGCAAGGCGACCGCCTGCACAGCTCACAGCCGCAAGCAGGCGTCAGGCGTCAGGCGACGGGCAAAGGGCGACAAGGCGGGTGGCCGGCTCGGCGGAGCCCCACCTTGGACCCATTGTCGACTACAGGCGGCTGCTTGGCGCCGTGCGAGGCGTCCGGCAGCAGGTCCAGCAAGTCAGCGTCTGCTTCCGGTGCATCACTCTCCATGCTTGGCTGCGGTTGGGCGGCTGCGGCCGGCTCCCGCTGCACTGCCGCGCCCTCCTTGAAGCTGGTCGTCTTGGGAGCGCTGCAACAGGTCCCGAAACGGCCCATGCCGGGAGAGCGGCAAGGTGATGGCCGTCCAAGGGCCGGCCAGAGCCTTGACTAGGCCCAAATTGGGCAAGTGGATGAGTGAAATGTCGAAAGAAGTGAAATGCGCGGAATAGACTTTCACTTTGCCGTGTTTGCAAGACAGCGCGCCGCCAGCGGGGCGGGCCAGTGGGCGCTGCACAGCCGCGGCTGTGGTGGCAGTGCAAGCAAGACATGAACATCTGTTTGTCGTATTGGCATACAGAGGGAGAGCCGTCCCAACTACGGCAGCACCGGCCCTGCCTGGTGGCGCCCCCGCGTCGAGCCGTTGGCGTCAGCAGTGACCGCAATTGGTGTGGGTTGGCTCTGAATCCCTTTCAAAATAACCCAGACCTACTTCTCACATCGCACGGGAGAGCAAAAAACTCCTAGAGCATCCACCAGCCCCTGTACTGCATCGGAGGGCGGCCGCCCGCTGGCAGCGTACCGCCCATGCAGGCCTCTTGAACTAGGCGGCCCTGCCGCCGCCCCCCGTGCGTCCATTCGACCTGCTGCCGCCCTACGAGTGCGAACAGGGGTCTGCAGACCCAGGCTTTTGAACGCGCGACAGCCCCGCCCCGCCCTAGCTGCTGGCGCGGGGTACCGGCGCGCAGGCGGTGCAGAGGCCTCACAGCACAAGCTCCAGGTCCCCTGGTAACCTGTTGAGGCTGGACAATGAGCGGGGCGATGCGCACTGTGGACGATGTGTTTGCTGATTACGCCGGTAGACGGCGGGGAATCATCAAGGCGTTGAGCACAGAGGTGCGGAGCGGCGATGTATGTGCGGGGGGCCTTACCAGAGGGCCCATCACGGGCGGAGCTTTGGCGGGCACCAGGCTGCTGCAGCAGCCCTCCCCAAGCATGGTTTGCCACGAACATGCCATCGCCACCTGGCAACCTCGCGACTCCCGGGCGCCTGCCCGGGAGTAGCGGGCTGCTGCACCCTGCTCCCGCCCCACCTCGCTCCCTGCTGCCGCCGCCACTTTTGTGTGCAGGTCGACCAGCTGTGGGAGCAGTGCGACCCCAGCAAGGAGAACCTGTGCCTCTACGGCTACTCGGACGGCACCTGGGAGGTGACGCTGCCGTGCGAGGAGGTGCCGCCAGAGCTTCCAGAGCCGACGCTGGGCATCAACTTTGCTCGCGACGGTGCGCCCTGCTGGCTGGCACTGCTGGCGGGCGGGGCATGCTCGCCCAGCACCACGCTGGCTTGCGCGCGCGCCTGCGGCTGCGGGCTGGTCCGCTCGAGCGCGGCAGCGAGCTGCCTGCCGGCCGGTGGTCGCCGCCTGCGGCGTGCGTGCTCACCCCTCCTCCGCCTGCGTCCTGCCCGCCAGCAGGCATGAAGCGCGCTGACTGGCTGTGCCTGGTGGCCGTGCACGCCGACTGCTGGCTCATGGCCATGACTTTCTACAACGGTGCCAAGCTGGACCAGAAGGGGCGGCAGCGGCTGTTTGAGGAAATCAACAGTCTGCCCACGGTGTACGAGATTGTGTCGGGCCGCGCCGCGGGCAAGCCCAGCCTGGAGGCGGAGCTGGCGGCCAAGCGCGCGCGCGCGGTGAGGCCCCCCGCAGCCGCCGCCGCTCTGCCGTTACTGGCAGAGGTGGTGCTGCAAGCTGCTGCGAGCTGCCGCTGCTCCTGTGCTGGTGTCGTGTACAGGCCCCTGCTGCCCGACGCGAGAGCAGCGTCAATGTGACAGTTCGCAACCTGGCTGCTCGCTTCCCGGGGCGCTGATTCGGGCTGCCCCGCGCGCCCTTGCTTTCCAGTTTGAGGAGGACGAGGAGGAGGAGGACGGCTCCCCCGACGGCGACGGCGACCCGTGCCCCAACTGCGGCCACACCTACCGGTCTGGCGAGTTTTGGATCCAGTGCGACGTGTGCGACCGCTGGTTTGACGGCAAGTGCGTGGGCATGACGGCCAAGCTGGCGGAGCAGCAGCCGCAGTGGAAGTGCCCGCTGTGCTGAGCTGGAGCCTGAGCCTGAGCCCCTCCGGAGCGGGGCTGCAGCTAGGCTGTGACGTGGTGGCCGCCTCCCCTGCCATTGCCAGCCAGACAGACACCAGCTGGCGGCGAGGCCTTTGTGCCGGCATGCACAACAGCCACCTGACCCTCCTTCCTTTGCCTTGACCTGTTGACCCTCCACCGTTGCCGTTACTCGCTGTATCACCGCCCCTCCTTTGATGTACTGCCGTACACCTCGTCCCTGCTGGGCCAGCCGTGCCCTGCCCATGCACCTTGTGCTGGGCAGCCGTGCCCTCCCCAAGCACCTGTTCCCTTCTCTTCCACACCCGTGCAACTCGGAGCACTATGTGTGCCAGTCCCTCGGGAAACAAGCACCGCAAAACGCGGCGCGACGGGCGTGGCGTGCTGCCACCCAGGCGGCGAGCGGTCTGCCGGCCCACCTGCATGCATGGCAGGCGGGCTGTGATCGTCATCATCTCGTGCCAGACTGAGGGAACAAAGCCCTTCAAGCGTGCTGCCGACCATACCTACGACTGGGGACATTTGCAAGACCCACAGAGTGTCTCCAAACCGGCGTTGCACGCCAGATATATATTACAGCTTGTGAGGGCATTTGCGGGGCATTGGGAGGGGCGCATGGAGGCCAGCATTCAGCGGTTAGAGTTTGAGGACTTCCCGGGCCGCACCCTGACGGTGCTGCTGTTCAAGGATGTGACCAACAGCAAGTAAGGACTGCCTTGCGCACGCCGCTGTAGCCGATGGTGCTGCCGCCGCCACCGCCCGCCGCTGCTGCCTGCGCGCCTGCCGAGGCGCCCGGCTGCCCTCCGTCTCCTCAGGCAGCTGGGACCTGCCCATCTATCCACTCCTTGATTGCACGCTCTTTTATCTTTTGCAGAGAGCTGCGGGAGCTAGTGATGAGCGGCGCGCTGCAGCCCGAGTGCAGCCTAGCCAACGCCGAGCTGGTGCCGTCCCTGCTCGTGCTGCGGGTGGCGGCGTTCAAGGCGCTGCTGGCGCAGCAGCGCGGCGCGCTGCGCACCAAGTCGCTGCATGCAGAGGTGGTGTTCAATCTGGCGGGGTCCAAGCACGTGAGTGGCGGCTGCTTTTTTGCTCCGCATAATGCATGCCTCTCCACGCCTCCCTGCCTGCCCTGTTCCCTGCCCCCCCCCCAGAAGTCCCGACCCCCCCCCTGTTCCCTGCCGGTGCTTGCAGATCCCCCATCCCCTAGATCGCTTTGGCATCAACCCCGGCTGCCGGCACCTGCTGGCCGCACCCTTCGACGCCTCGCCTGAGGAGGAGGCGCAGCTCCAGGGGCTGATCGCGGGCGCCCCCACCCCGCTGGCGGAGCTGCCCCTGCTCACCGACCAGCAGCTGCTCATCAAGCACCTGAAGGTGACACCAGAGGAGCTGCTGGTGGGCAGTCTGGCAGACGCGATGCTCATGCGCAGCGCGGGCCGGGACTGCTAGCACCGGGCGCCAGGCTGCGCTCGCGGCGCCCCTCCCTTCCTTCCGCTCCACCACGTGCCGCGCTGCCCAGCTTGCCTCTGTACACGTTGCCGCTCGACAATTCCTCATGTTTCCCCTGCTGCTGCTCCTGCCCTCATCGCCTGCTCCTTGCCCGTGCCATTCTGCCTCCTCTGACTCCTGCTGGCCAATGAGATTACACTGTAACGACTTGCATCATGATGGCCAGTTTGCCAGTATCACAGCGCATCATGCGGGGCAGGGGCAAGTCGCCCCAGGGCCACTTTGTGGGCCAGCCACGCTGCCCCGCTACCACATGAAGCGAGCCACGCTGCCGTCGGGCCAGGCGAAGGGCGCGGCGAGGAAGAGGTAGAGGGTGGCGGCGTTGACTGCGGCAAAGCCGGCGGCGATGGCGGCCAGGGCGCGGGGGCTGGGGGTGCGCATGTGGAGGAAGGCCAGGTAGAAGGGGGTGGTGAAGTACCGCGGTTCCAGGAGGTGTGCGGGTACCAGTACCGCACAGGTACCGCCCGCCGCCAGCAGCAGCCACAGCGGGCCGCGGTGAGCTAGCCGCCGCTGCAGCGCCCAGCCAGAGTACAGGTAGGCTGGGATGAGGGCGTAGCGGGCCCAGGGGGTGCGGTTGAGCACGCGGCGCCACAGGTAGAAAGCATAGTGCCGGTTGTCGGCCAGCAGGAACGGGTGTGCCAGGGTGCCGGACGACACAGCGGCCACCGCAGCGGCAGCCGCCGCAGCCGCCGCAGCGCCCGCGGCCGCCGGGCGCTGCCGGGCCGCGGCCGCCACGCCTCGCGCGGCGGCTGCCAGGGTGGGCGGGGACCAGAAGGCCGGCGCCAGGCAGGCTGTGCAGTACAGCAGGAAGTACAAGGGCTGCGCCAGGTGGCGTACCGCCGCGTGGTGCGCCTTGTCCCCCACCACAATGCCGCCATTAGCCACAACGAACGCTGCAAAGGCCGCCACCACCGCCGCCAGCGGCCACAGGTCCGACGCAAGCTGCGCCTTGAGGAGCCATGCCCGGCGCAGCAGGGTGGCGAGATCGGAGGCCAGCCCGGGGCCGCCGCCGGCCACGCCGCTCCGCTTCCTGCTGCTGCCGCTGCTCCTGCCGCCGCTGACGCTGCTGTTCCTGCTGCTGCGTTGCGTGGTGCCGGCCGCGCCACTGTCACGGCTCCTCCCGCTGCCGCCGCTGCTGCCAGGCAGGCATCTCTCCAGCAGCGCATCACCCAGGCAGAAGGCCACCCAGACGGCGTTGGTTTGCCGCACCAGCACCGCAGCTGCTCCCAGGGCGGCGGCCAGGCGGTACCGCCGTCGCCGGGAGGCCAGGTAGGCAGCCAGGGTGAAGAAGAGGGAGGGCACATCGGTGTAATACAGGAAGCTAAAGAAGTAGTGGACAGGGAAGAGGAAGCAGACAGCTGCCTGCAGGGGGGCCGGGGAGGCACGGAGAGCCAGTGGAGCAGTGGCAAGAAGAAGAAGCGGGCGCCTGTGAGCAAGCCCTGGCCGGACATTGAGCTGCCAGCTTGTTGCCGGGCATGAGGATTGATTGATATGTGCAGGGCCCATGCCCTGCAGCGGCGGGTGGCAGGCCGGGCACAGGGCATGAGCGCCGCTCACCAGGAGGGCCGCCTGCTGCCGGCTGCGGCTGGGGTCCAGCTGGCGCGCGGCGGCCAGGAAGAGCGGCAGGCAGGCCGCCGCAAACAGCAGGTTGGTGGCCCGCAGCACGGCGGTGCCGCACAGCGCCGCTGGCCGGATGCCAAGCAGCCGCTGCGCGGCGTGCACGGCGTGCCCCAGCGCCGTTCCAAACAGGTACAGGCCCGGGAAGGTTGTGATCTTGGGTTCCCACTCCCGCCAGTGTCCCGCGCAGTACCGCTGCGTCTGCGGCACGTGGAAGGGTTCGTCCTGCGGATGGGAAGCAGTTGGGGGATTGATGGGAGCTGAGAGCTGGGGACCATCTGCTCTGAGGACAGAGCCGCCCCCGCTGCTGGCTGAAGATGGAAACGTGTCCACCCGATTCCAGCTGGCCCCAAAACAGGCCAGCACCCACGAGGCCCTAGGACTTAGGACTCAGGCAGGCCAGGCACGCACCATGTAGGGGTCGGGCGCGAAGGCGGCAAACAGGGCCGCCACCGCAACCGACGCCGGCAGCAGCAGGGCCGCCAGGGCTGCCAGGGCGCCGTTGCCAGGCATCGCGTGCTGCCCCCCAGATGCGTCCACCCTGCCGTGGCTGCTGCAGCGTCACGGCGAGCAGCCTCTCAGCATTCCCACGCTGTGTCGGGGTGGATGCGACAGCTGCTGGGTGAATGGTGGAATGATGGTTGAATGGCACGAAATGCGTCGAATCGCCGATGGCTAAAGTTTTGGCGAAGCGGAATTCCAGGCTGGCGTGTACGGCTTCCTTCTCCGCTGCAGGCCACCGCACACCAATCCAACCTGCCGTGGCTTGATCAGGGAGGCCCACAACAGCGGAAGCCTCAGCATCTGCGCGATCAGTCTGTCACTCTTGCACGACTGTCGGCGTTGTGTGCCGCGCTTGCAGCGATGTCATCCAAGGGCTCTAAGCTGGTGAGCAGCCGCAGCGAGGCCCGCTGCAGCTCGGCGGCGGACTTGCACGGCTCGTTGCCTGCCTGCTCGCTCCTGGCAGCCCACGAGCGGCCACAGGGACTCTGAGAGGGTCGCTGCCGCCCAGAGACTCGGGCGCCTGGGTTTGCGCAGCTGCTGGGGCCGCGCCACTTGCCTCCGCCACCGCCACCGGAAGCGCAGGTATCGCCCCTCCACACCTCACGCCTGCCTGGCCCCTGCCTGCCCCCTGCCTGCAGTCCAAGGAGCAGCTTCGCGCGCTGCGAGCGCAGCGAGCGGCCGCGCTGGCAGCGCAGGCGCCCGCCCAGGCGCGCGGCGCGGGCCCCGCGGCCCCGCCGCCGCCGCCGGCCGCTGCCGCCGCGGCGGGCACCCAGAGCGCGGAGGAGGACGCTCGCAGCATGCCGCCGCCGCCGCCGCGTGCGCCTTCCGGCCGCAGCCAGCCACCGGCGGCGGCGGGGCAGCAGCAGCAGCAGCAGGCAGCTGCCTCATACCATGCCGACTCTCAAGCCACTCGCCTGCACGACACAGGCGGCCTGCAGGCACACGCAGACCACCATGCCGAGCCCTCTATTAACCAGGGAGGCGGCGGCGGCGGTACCGGCGCCGCGCCTCGCTCCGCAGGCTGGACAGAGGAAGTGCGCAGCACGCTGTCTGGGGGGTGGCCTGCCGACCTTGGCGACGGCAACCACGCCTCGGCGGCCGGGTCAGCGTCGGCAGCGGCCGGCGGCGGCGGCGCCGGCGCCGGCCAGCCGCCCGCGGCAGCGGCAGCGCCCGCGGCGGAGCCGGCGCTGTCTCTAGAGGGGTCCACGGGGGCGGGGGCGGCTGCGGGGGCGCCCGCGGGCGCCGACGTGACGTCTGCGGCTAGCCGGATGGAGGCGGCGGGACAGACGGCACTGTCTGGGGCTTTGCCCGCCGGCTTCTTTGACGGCCCCCCCGCGGCCGCAGACAGCATAGTAGGCCCCGCGGCGGCGGGCGGCGGCGAGGCAGACGGCGGGGCGGCCGTCAGCAGCGCGCCGCCGCCGCCGGCGGGAGGCGCGGCGGCGGCGGCGGGGGCGGCGCCGCTGCCCAGAGGTGGGCGCAGCGGGCGCAGCGGGCGGCGCCCTGTCGACCTCACCCAATCATTGTTGCTGCATTGGCTGGCCTGGTTGGCACCCAATTGTTTTTGCTGGGCTGGCTGGCCATGCCTCGGCAGCTGGGGGCAGCCACCTGGCCTTTGTCTCCTCCCAGGCACAGCCTCTGAGCTCCTGCCTTGCCCGGCGGGCGCCTGACACTGACCCAACCTGCACCCCCTGCCTGCCTGCCCGCCTCCCCTGCCCGCCTCGCCTGGCCGCCTGCCCCACCCCCGCTAACCTCCAGGTTTTTTGAGGACCAAAAAGCGGGATCCCAGGCGGGGGGGGAAGGGCCCCAAGACCGCCAAGGACTGGGCAAAGGTGTGGGGGGGGAAGGGGCTGCGGTTTTGGGGGGCAGCAGCAGGCCGGCCAAATCATGGTAGGCCTGACGTGTCCCGTAGGGCGCCCTCACACGCATGCGTGCTCACACATATGCCTGCGCACCCCACACCCAGACTCACGCTCAACACACACACACACACACCTGCAGGAGTATGCGGACTTCATGAAGCAGGTGGAGGTGGACTCGGCGGCGGCGGCGGCGGCGCACGCGGCCGACGAGGAGGCGGAGGCGGAGGGGCGGCTGGAGCGGGAGGATTTCGAGCAGTTGTGAGCAGGGAGGGGGCGCCTGGTGGCGTGTGCGGGAGGGGAGCAGGGAGGGGCAGCGCAGCTCAGCCAGGGGGTGCCGCCGCTGCTGTGTTGCTCGGGTTTGTGCTTCTCTCTGCATCACAACACCTGCAGGCTTCTTGCCTGCACCCATGTTCTGCGCGCGCTTGATTCTTTGGAACGGCCACCTTCCAACCTTTCTTTTCTGGCGCGCCTGCCTCGGCGGCCCTGCCACCCCTCCCCCCTCCTCCCTGCAGCGTGCGCATGCAGAAGCTGGAGGCGATCAAGGCGGCGCGGCAGGCCGGCGGCGGCGCCGCCAAGCGGGGCGTGGAGGAGGTGGACGCGGCGGCGGCGGCCGCGGCGGCCGCCATCGCCGAGCCCGAGGTGCAGCGGCCTGTCATCCACCTGGCCAAGAAGCGACGGGTGAGTGGGGCGGGGATGGGGCGGGGTGGGTGGGCGGTGCAGGCTGGCGGCATGTGGCGGCGGTGCTGGTTGCAGCCGGCCCCTGCCACCCCCAGCCACTTCCTGCTTTGCGGACTGGCGGGCCAGCGTCTAGAGCCGCCACATTGTTCCAGGCAGGCAGGCAGGCAGGCAGGCAGGCAGCTCCCCTCACCCTGCACGCCACCCTGCCGCCCCACCTGCCGCTCCGCCCCGCCCGCAGGTTCTGGACACAGTGGCAGCGCTGGAGGCAGCCCCCGGCGGCGGCGGCAGCAGCGACGAGGACGAGGGGGATGCCGACGATGATCTGCTGGACTGGAGAGCCAAGAAGTCGGCGTTCTGACTTAGGTCGGAAGGAGGAGGCGCGGGTGTTGGGTGCACGGCTGGTTTGTATTGGCTGGCTGCCCTGCTGACCCGTACCCTCTGTTTCCATGCGTCGGTTGGATGTTCTTGCAGCTGAGCAAACGTGGCTTGTAAGATGTGTTGCCTGGCATGGCTGAGGAGCACTGGCAAGGCAGGTCTGGCACATGGAGCCTGGCAGCACTTCGTGGGCAGCAGGAGTGGGAGGAAGGCGGTGGCGGCGGCCACGCCTTGCTGCGGCGTCGGCAGGCCGGCGCGCATTGATTTTCAGCCATGGCGCGCCTTGCAGGCGCTCTTTGGGGCCTCTCAACGCCGCAAGGTGTGCGGTTTGCGATGCCATGTCGCTCTGGAAACCGCCTTGCCCACGCCTACTGTGTCAGGGAGCACTGATGCGGACTGGATGACGCCAGTGCGGACTGGCAGCGATGCGGGACTGTGTTTGTGTGGTCAGCCCGCCATGTGGCCGCCTGCGGCTGCCACACAGTGCCGCCAGGCCCACCCTTCCCCCCTCTCCCCACACCTGGCGCAGGCTCGGCGCCACCACCGTGCGCTCGCAGCGTGCCCGCCTTGAGACACCCTCCGTTTGCAGCTGCCGGCAGCGCCTCTGGGCTGGCGAGGCGGCCCGGCGAGCGCGGTGTCGCCGCCGCCGCCGCCGCCGCGAGCATGGGCGCCGGCGCCGGCGGGGATGGCATCGCCGCCAGCACCGCCACCGCCGCCTCCCCAGCCGCCTTTGACGCAGCTGCCTACGACGCGCAGCGGCTGGCGCTGGGCGGCCAGGCCATGGGCCGCATGCGGCAGCTGAGCCAGGCAGAGGGCGCCGCGGCCGCGGCCGCCGCCGCCGCGGCCGCGGCGGGGGAGGAGGCCGCTGCGGCGGCGCCCCCGGGGGCGTGGAAGTGGGAGGTGCGGAAGCGGATCTGGGATCTGATGGAGGAGCATGACCTGGCAGACTTTCCTCGCCCAGGTGGTCCAGCCAGCGGCCAGCCAGCCGTACACCATACACAGCGGACAGAGCATGCCCGACCCACCCCCGCCATGCCTGGCAGCACGCCACCTGCCCGCCTTGCTGCTGTGCTCCCGCTGCCGGCGCCCCTGCCTGCCGCAAATGCCTGCAACGCCCGCCGCCTTCCAGCATCCACCTGCGCCTGTCCCCGGCTCCTCCCCCACAGTGCACCACCGCATCCCCAGCTTCAAGGGAGCCGCCCAGGCCGCCGCCCGCCTGGCGGCGCTGCCCGAATTTGTGGCGGCGCGGTGCGTGAAGGTCAACCCAGGTGGGCGGCGTGGTTTGGGGTGTAGGAGCAGGCAGCATGGGGTGGCTGCCTGAGAAATGAGGAGTGAGAGGGGGGCACATGCCTCCCTGCCTCTGGGCAGTATCCAGCTGCCCCCGCTGCACCAGGGATTCCCTGGACACTCTGACCCACCTGCTCCTGCCTGCATGCCCCTGCCCCCGCCGCCCGGCCCCCGCCGCAGACACGCCGCAGAAGGCGGTGCGGCACGCGGTGCTGTGAGCCGGCAAGACGCTGCTGACGCCGCAGCCGCGCCTGCGCACCGGCTTCTTCTCCACGCTGCACCGGGATGCCATCCCGCCCGACGCGCTGCTCCAGGCCTGCACCTCGGGTAGGCGCCGGGCGGGCGGCTGGCAGCCGTGGCGCTAGCATCAGCGGCGCCGGCGTGCCTGCCGGTGGTGCGCCAGCGGGAGACTGCCGGCACCTGGATGGCGCTAGGGCCTGTGGATTGGCAGCTGCAGCAGCCGTGCCCGCGCGGCCGGGCTGACCTGCGCCGGCAGCTTGACGCATGCGACGTCTGCGCCTCCCTCACCCTCCACCCACACATGGACCTGCGTGGCATGCAGCCGGTGTGGCCAAGTACGGGTCACCTCTGTCCCTGGACGGTACCATACAAGTGGACCTGATTGTGGTGGGCTCGGTGGCTGTGGACCCGCAGACCGGGTGCCGGCTGGGAAAGGGGGAGGGGTTTGCCGAGCTGGAGTACGGCATGCTGCGGCGGATGGGCGCGGTGGACGGCGGCACGCTGGTGGCGACCACGGTGCGGGACGAGCAGGTGGTGCCGCCGGGCGCCATCCCCGCCGCCGCCATGCTGCCTCACGACGTGCCGGTGGATATCATCGTCACCCCCACCCAGGTGTGTGGCCTGGGCCTGGGCCCGCCTGCTGGAGGGAGGGGCCGTCGTGGTAGCCTGGGCCGCGGGCCACATGCGCCGCACCGCATGAGCTCGGCACGCCTCTTTGCCTCGGCTTGGCTTTTATGAGAGGCGGATGCCTGCCGCCGCTCCGCCTGCCGCCGCCGTTTTCCTCCTGGCAGGTCATCCGCGTGGCTGCGCCGGCGCTGAGCAAGCCGGCCGGCATCCTTTGGGACAGGCTCAGCCCGCAGAAGCTGGCCCAGATCCGCGTGCTGCAGCAGCTGAAGCAGCGCTTAGAGGAGGAGCGGGGCGCCCCGCTGCCCTGCGGGCCCGACGAGGCGCTGCCACCCCTGGCGGCGCGCGGCCGGCGGCGGCCCGCCGGCGGCGGCGGCAGGGGCGGAGGCGGCGGGCGGCAGGGGCGGCGGCGGCGCGGTGGAAGAGGGCAGGCAGCGCCGCCGGTTGTGCAAGAGGGATAGCGCGGGGCACAAGGGTACCCCCAGGCAGGCCACTGCCGCCGCTGCGGCGCCCCGGCCGTGTGGCAGGTAGCACGACCCTCCGATGCTACCGCTTTGCTTCTCAGGAGGAGTGCAATTTTGGGCACGATGTTCACGTGATATTCTGCAACTCCTCGGATTCCCTCCTTCAGGCGGCCGCTGTGAACAATCTGTGTCTTCTCTCTCCATGTCCCCAATGCCCTCCGAGCCCAGAACAAAAAGATTGCCGATTTGCCGCTGCTTGACGCCAGGTCGCCGTGGCTGATTGGGGCGGCTGCCCGCCGTGCCTGCCGGCGGGCGATGCTGCCTGCTTGCTAAAGGATGCCCCTGTGCCGCGCCTGCAACCTATGCCGCTCTGTCATGGTCGAAGCTTAGTACTTGCTGACGGATTGGGAGGCAGTCCGCAGCAGGCGCGGGAGAGCAGTGGCCAGGTGCGGCGGCGGGCGGTGGCAGTGGGCGGGTGGCGCGGAGGGCTGGCCTGCACTGGAGGGGACCTCTTCCCGAGCAATCCTCTGAAGCTGCGCTGCTCATCTGCTTCCTTGATTGAATTGAGTGCTGAACTCGTGCTGCGTGCTGTCCATCACCCCCCTTATCTGGGCCGGCCATGCGAGGGAGGGTGACAAGGCGACCTCTCACACGCACTCTTGTTATCTCCACACACGCCCAGTTGCTTTGAGACGGCTGCAAGCCCGCCAGCCTCACCTCCGGCACTCGGTCCAAGTGGTAACGTGCGCCCTTGCACGCCTGCCGCTCTCCAGCGCTCCTAAGCAAGCCGGGGAGCCCCACATTTGCGGTAGAAGGCTACGCGAGGCGCCAGGCGGTTGCAGGGCTGACACAGATGCAGCAGGTCGCGAGCAGCAGAGCCATGCAGGGGACGGCGGTTCCATGCAGGTAGGAGCCTGTGGGCAGGTCGCGGGACCGGCGTGAGGGGCAATGCCGCCACCGGGAGACTTGCACGCGACCAGGCTGCTGCCCCTCATTCCTGCAGGAGCGTGCTGTGCAGCCGGCGGCGCAGCAGCAGCGTGCGCAGGCCACTGCAGCAGGTGGGAAGGGCCGCAGGGGAGCCAGCTGCGCCCCTGGCCGGCGGCGCCGGCGGCAGCGACTGGCAGCCACAAGCCGCCTGCCTGCCCTTGTGGGCCCCACAGCCGTGTTGCAAGCCCTCCTTCTCCTTCCTTTTCCGCGCCACCCGCATCAGTGCCACCCCTTCCCTGCCCCACCACCCCCCGCGATGCCCTCTTCCACCCCCCGCAGCGCCCGCGCGCCGTGGCGGAGGTGAGCGTGCGGTCCGAGGCGGGCGGCGCGGCGGTCAAGGCCAAGACCGCCTTTGACTTCCAGCAGTACATGAAGGAGCGGGCGACGCTGATCGACGCCGCGCTGGACAAGAGCGTGCCGCTGCAGTACCCTGAGATCATCAACGAATCCATGCGGTACTCCCTCCTAGCAGGTGCGCCGCAGCCTGCCCTCCTCTCCTGGCTGGGGCGTGTACATTGTGCCCAGCTGGCTGCCCAGGCAGGGGTTCTGGTGATGAACGGGCCTTGCGCGCGCCCCTGGGCCGTGCACCGCCCCTTGCGATGCCTGGCACGCGGCACCGCGGCAGCAGCCCGGCGGCTGCGGCAGCGGCAGCCCCGCCAGCCCAGCCCTGGCGGCAGGCGCAGGCGCTGTGCCGCACCCCAGACGGTTTGGGCACCAGCCCCCGAGCCTGCGCCCGCCACGCCCGCAGCCGCAGCGCCGCACCTCCCCGCCACCCCCCGGATCAAGACTTG